TTGTGGTAGCCTTACCATGGTTTGGTGCTGCTTAGCTGCTGTAGGTATGGTGTCAAGTACCAGATGATCATTTGGTTAATCATTGGATAAGATCCAGGTGGCCTCCATGGTCCTCTCTTAAGGTCATTGGAATATATGAGACTTCATGGAATCGATGGTGCAGTCCCTCCCTTGTGGACTGAGTTTGCTTATTTCTTTGTCCTTTTTGTTTCATGTCTAAGTTTTTCCCTCCCCATCTGCACTGCTGTCTCAATGGGAGTCTTCTGATGATTATGCAACCATGAAGTTGTCATCATGATTGCCAATGGCTCACAACAGTCATCACTATACTTTTGTCACATAGGTTGGACAGGCTGAAAGAGAGCCCCTTAAGGGGTTAACTAAATAACTGCCCAAACTACAGGTCAACCTGCCATAAGAATGCCTGGGGTTGACCTGGTGCCCAACTGTGGCTCTCCAAACTACAGGCCAGCCTTCCATACAAATGCATTGGGTTGACCTGATGCCCATGCAGGACTTCGAAAAATTTTCATCCAGACTACAGGTCAGGCTGCCATAGAAATACATTGGATTGACGTGATGCCTGGCTGGGGCCCTCCAGATGAGAGATCAACCTACCATAGGTATGCATTGTATTGGGCTGTAGCCCATCTAAGACTTTCTGGACTATAGGTCAGCCTGTCGTAGGCATGCATTGGGTTGACTTGTAGCTCAGTCACAGTTCCACAGGCAACAGGTCAACCTGCCATAGGAATGCCTGGGGTTGACCTAGTGCCTGGCTTTGGCTGCTTGAACTACAAGTCAGCCTGACACAGGAATATGTTGGGTTCACCTGATGCCTGTGCAGGGCTGAAATTTTTTTCATTCAGACTATGGGTCAATGTGGTTTAGGAATTCATAGGTTAACCTGTAGTCTGGGGAGTTGTCCACAAAGGGGCACTCAGAACTGGTTTGCTGCATGTTGCAACCAAGCACTTGGCCATGCCCCCTGGCTTTCACAGATGATTGGGCTGGGTGCCAGGGCTGTCCAATCCCTTGTGCCAAGTGCATGGAGATTTTCAGGAATACTGTTCTGGAACTTGCTGAGAACTGTGTGATGTCTAGAGAACAAGCCTGAGTATTGTACCTGACTGACGAGAGGAGGAAGGTGGATGCTTGGCAGTGGGAGCTCTGTTCTGGCTTTGGTTCTCCTATCCACTTTTCTTGGCATTCATTCCCCTGTTCCCAGGTGACCTCTGTGGCCTCCCTGGTGCTGCTTCCATGGCTCAGCCCATGTTCCATGCCACTTCCTTCAGGCCATTCTCACATGTTCATGGGGTTGCTTCCCTGGTGTGCACATGCCCCCCAGCAACCCTGTGGCCCCGTCTGGGCCACTCCTGTTCATTGTAGATTTCATAGATTTCATAGACGTTAGGGCCGGAAAGGACCTTGAAGATCATCAAGTCCAGGCCCCTGCCCCAGGGGTAGGAAGTCAGATAGGGTCAAAGGACCCCAGCAAGATAAGCATCCAAATGTTTCTTGAATGAGTCCAGAGTAGGTGCCTGCACCACTTCTGGAGGGAGTTTATTAGGGGCTTGGACAGTAAAGAAGTTTTTCCTTATGTCCAGCCTAAAACAGTCTTGGAGGAGTTTATGACCACTGGTCCTTGTTATCCCCCGGGGCGCTCTGGTGAACAGACATTCCCCCAGATCCTGATGCACAGGTCACCCCTGAGCCTGTGCTTTTCCAGGCTGAAGAGTCCCATGGCTCTCAGACTGTCTTCATAAGGCCTATTCTCTTGCCCTCTGATCATGCACATGGCTCTCCTCTGGACTCTCTCAAGCTTCTTGACATCCTTTTTGAATTGTGGAGCCCAGAATTGGATGCAGTACTCCAGCTGCGGCCTCACCAAGGCCAAGTACAGCGGGAGGATGACATCCTGAGATTTACTTGAGAAGCATCTATGGATGCAAGCAAGAGTTTTGTTTGCTTTACCAGCTGTGACATCACATTGGTGGCTCATGTTCATCTTGTGATCAGTCATGACCCCCAAGTCTCTTTCAGCCATGGTGCTAGCGAGCGTAGCACTGCCAAGTCTATAAGCATGCCTTCCCCCCCACCCCCGAGGTGGAGTACCTTGCATTTTTCGGTATTGAACACCATCAGGTTTATATCCATCCACTTTCTAAGCTTATCCAAGTCAGCCTGGATCACTAGCCTATCCTCAGGTGTGGATGTAATGCCCCAAAGTTTAGTGTCATTGGTGAACTTGGCCAGTGCGCCTCTGACACCAACGTCCACATCATTGATAAAGATGTTAAAGAAAACTGGTCCAAGAACATAGCCTTGGGGACACCACTGGTCACAGAGCACCATAGTGATTCACTTCCTTTGACTATTACTCTTTGGGTCTGACCTTGGAGCCAATTTCCCAGCCATCAGACTGCGGTGTAGCCAAGGCCACAGTTGGCCAATTTTTCCATGAGTGCTGGCTGTCCCTCAGGAAGTTGCGATCAGCCAGCTTATCAAGAAGGGTCTCTTTGATAATTTTCTCCAGAATCTTACCAGGGATTGAGGTCAAGCTGATTGGCCTGTAATTCCCAGGATCTACTTTCCACCCTTTCTTGAAGATAGGTACCACATTAGCCTTCTTCCAGTCTTCAGGTACTTCACCTGAGCGCCACGAGTTTTCGAATATTTTTGCTAATGGTTGGGCTGTGACCCCTGCCAGCTCCTTGAGTACTCTAGGGTGTAATCTGTCAGGACCAGCTGACTTGAAGGTGCCCAGCCTCTCAAGGTGTTCCTTTACAAGGTCTACACCAATGCTGGGTATAAATATGCCCTCACCCTGGCCATCCCGCATCATGCTATAGGCAGGGCGGTCCCTTTGGGCAGATGAAAGACTGATGCGAAGTACCCATTAAGCAGGTTGGCTTTGTTCTGGGTGTCGGTTATCAGTTGTCCCATTTGGTTCAGCACAGGTCCAATGTTACCCTTGGTTTTTTTCTGACTCCCTACATATCTGAAAAAGGACTTTTTATTTTCCTTGATATGTGAAGCCAGATGAAGCTCGGTTGCAGCCTTCGCTTTCCTGGTTCACTCCCTGCAGGTACGGACCAGTGCTGAAAACTCCTCCCCTGTGGTGATTCCAGCCTTCCATCCTTTATAAATCTCTCTTTTTGGGCATAGGAGGTCCTCAAGTTCCCTGCTGGGCCAAGGGCGTTGCTGTGCCTTTTTGCTACCCTTCCTCTGAGATGGGATGGACATCCCTTGTGCTGTCAGGATTGCTCCCTTGAGGAGCAACCACTCCTCTTGGACTCCTCTTCCTGTCGAGTCATGATCCCTTAGGGCCTTGACAACAAGCCTTCTGAGCTTATCAAAGTCAGCTTTCCTAAAGCTGAGGACTTCTGCATTGCTGACTGACTTGCCAGCTTTGCGATGGATAGTAAAGGTGATCAGCTCATGGACACTATCACCCAGCTTTCCATCGATTCTTAGGTCACTGACTAGGTCATCCCCTTTGGCCAATACCAGGTCCAGCAACGCTTTACCTCTTGTCGGCCCATAGACTTCTTGAGTCAGGTAAAGCTCATCCACGCATGTGAGGAAGCTTTGCGACGGATCGGATTTGTGTAGTCCTCAGCCTTGGACCCTGCTCCTGCCAAGAACCAGGGTGACATCTAGGGGACCTCTTTGCCCTCTTCCCAAGTCTGTCACAACTGCCCATACCCTCCGTAGGTCCTTCCTGCGCTGGTGAGGAGTATGTGCATCTGACCCTCACAATGGCAACAAAGGTTGAAAGGTATCTGTGGGGCTCTTGGGATTACCAGTGTTGCAGAACCTCCACCAAACACAGTGATAAAGCAACATCTCAGGCCTGTATCTTGGGTTACAAACCTGAAAACTGCTCCCCACCCCCTTGCCCCCTGGGACCGTGTGCTGTACAGGCAGTGTTCTGTCATGGGGGCAGGGAACCCTTGCATTGCTCTCTAGTCCCAATTTGCAGCTGCTGTAGCAATGACAGCTGTGTGTCTAATTTGCTGCTACTGGGGGGATGGGGCGTTTCCTCACAGGCCGACTCTTTTGTGGGAATCCCAGACTAGCCACCTAATCAAATTCCTTTTAGATGAAGAGGAAGGCCACGCTGTCTCACAACCTCCCCTGCAGTTGTGCTGTTGTTAGCAGTGTCTCACCCGTGGTTCAGCCCCCTTCTTCCTGCAGATCTTCCCTCCTCTTCTGAATGCTTGCTTACATGCTGCATGAAGGAAGAGGATGACAGGTATTGATTTGCCACTGGAAAATCAATCATGGCTCTGACAAATGCCGTGGCCAACAGGTAGGTTTGCCTTCAGCTGAATGAAAACTGGAGTCTAGTCCAGAGCATTGCTGGACTCTTGGATGGTTTGGAGCCCACCAGCAGCTCAGTGCTGAAATGCCAGGAGTGCTGGGCATGACACTCACTGGCCACTCCGAGTCATTCATCTTTCACAGTGATTATGTGGGAAATAGCAAGGGGCTTGAGGGCCTTGTGGATGGATCCTGGAATCAATTTTGCATGGCAACTCCTTTCCTGAGAGAGGCATGATCTGGGTCAGATTTCAGAGAGTCCCACTGGTGGCATTTCTCACACATAGGGGGAGTGAAGGCTCAGTGGCTGGCCCTAGCTGCATGACTCACTTTTGCAAAGTGAGCCCCTCCACTCCCAATCCCCTCTTGCTTGTCTTCCCCATGCTCCATGGTTCTCTTTATGTATGGGATGAGGAAGAGAAGGCTTTTACTGCAAGGTCTAAGGTGCCCAAGTAGGTTGAAGGAGGTTGGTAGGTCAGACTGAAGGGAATGGACTCCTAAAAAGTCATTTCCCTCATGCACCCAGAGAAATGTAATAACATGAAAATCAGAATATTCAGGAGAGAGGGAGAAAGAAACCCTGCTTTGCATAATTGCTAGTAAGCCCTTGTTTGCCGGCCCTGTATACAGAATGTCTTGGTCCCTATTGACTCTCCCTTTGCTCTTCTTTCCAGCACAGCTACAGGGAGGTGGGCATTCTGCTGCTCTACCTGGCTGTGGGAGTCTCTGTGTTCTCTGGAGTGGCCTACACAGCTGAGAAAGAGGAGGATGTTGGTTTCGACACCATCCCAGCCTGCTGGTGGTGGGGTACAGTCAGCATGACCACTGTGGGCTACGGAGACGTGGTGCCAGTGACCATAGCTGGCAAACTGGCAGCTTCAGGCTGTATCCTGGGCGGGATCCTGGTGGTGGCATTGCCCATCACAATCATTTTCAACAAATTCTCCCACTTCTACCGCAAGCAGAAAGCCTTGGAGGCTGCCGTAAGGAACAGCGACAAGAAGGAGCTAGAGGACACTGAAGATTTTTCCAGCCAGAACCAAGACTCGGAGGCTCTGAGTGAAATCTTCCAGGAGGGAAGCAAGCCAGACCGCCAGCGCCTGACCAAAGATACCCTTCCTGCTCACTGAACACACAGCGGCTAGAGCTGATGATTCCAACATGGTGTTTTCTCCTAGACAAATATAGCCTGGAGGTCCAGGTCGGAATGGTACTGACTCTTTTACCATTGCTGACTCTTATGCACTGGAAGTAAACAGGAGATGAAACACCCCAGATGATGCTCACACAGTGCACTGCCCTTGTGCTGGGACAATGAAGAAAAACCACCAGAACTAGAATGACAATAGCTCTGGGCTGCCCCAGACTTACAAAAAATCCATCTGGCCTCCTTAACACTGTGCACAACATCTGACAAACTTCTCTGCCAGGCAAAGGACAAATCAAGAGTCAACAAGATATGCCCATTAGGTCCTAGCTGTTTCTAACCCTTGCAGTGGTGACAGCAGGCAGCAGCTGTATCCATTAGGACATGCGCTGAATAACAGTATTCACTGTAGTAATGGCAATAGTGTCAGAGCCCCCAAATGCCAATTAGGAAATAAAATTAAGTTACCAAGGACTTAGAAAAGGAAAGGGTGAAGAACCAAATCAAGAAGCAGAAAGACCTCTGGCCTGCTGGTCTGCCTGGCCACCAGTAACTCCTTCCAAGGTCCTGCAGCCCAAAGTTCTGTCTGGCCTATCACAATGTCAGTGCTGAGCATTTAGCTCCCGTTTCCAAACCCACCACTCTGAAACACATGAACTCCAGATTCTACCTGTGTTTGCAATAGGAATATTTCCTGGGGGCTGGGACTGGGCTTTGGAGTGTGGTGAAATAATCTCTGCAAAGAACTAGTCAGAGGGACAAGCCTAAACCTGACTGGTTGTCTCACAAGTACCCAACCTGACCTGATATTAAACACTGGGTCCACAGCTTGCTTTCAGCTTCCTTCCTTGGGAAATCCTAACTGATCACTTCCTTTCCATTCCTTAGTGGATGAAGAGGAGAAATGAGGGTGGTAAAGTGAATGGTGTCTACATACCATGTGGGATCACAGAAAAGGTAACATCAAAATATATGTTTTCTTCCAGTGCATAGCTGAGGCTGGAATGCTCAGATGTCCTTGTAAGAGCCACAATATCAGCACATCTGTTCACCGTTGTTAATGAGAATGCGTTCACTTAGGCAGCCAAGTGTTGTGGTCGTAAAAGAGCACCCCCCCAAAGAGCAATGTTTTGGAGAGCCAGAGAAAGCAGTTCGCCATGGCTCTGTGGCACCATGTAGATAGTTCCAGGAGAGCTCTCTGTTAAGGAGAGAGGTGATTCCCCATCCTTCAGTGTTCCCCGGGCTGGCACTGAGTGGCATGGCATATCCTGAATAAGCCAGCATGCCAGCTAGCTGAACAACTGCCCATAGCCAATCTGTCAGTCTTGCCATATCTTTCAGGTTAGGCTGGAAGTGGGTGCCAGTGCTCTGATGGGCAGACACATGGGAGAACAGCTTTGCAGGGGATCTGATAGATACAGAAAGAAGAGAAGATTTCACCACTGTGTGGACAAAGCCCCAAAGCAGGGAAAAACCCTGGCTTTTACCTAAACACGTGCTCCAAGCCCATATGTTGGTGACCTCCAACAGGTTTTCTTCTTTGACCTTCATTCTTAGAGGTTTCTGGAGAAATTCTCTTGTCCTGGCTGCCCAGCTGCATGCAGTGGCCATTTGGGAAATGAAACTCAGAGAAGAAGAGCTATCTGCTGGTTCCAAGCAGGTCCTTTGCGATCACAACACTTACTGCTGATTCAGCCTCCTTTCTCTAAGATTTCCCCTGCTCTCCAAGCTGCTCTTTTCCACCCTTTCTTGCCTTCCTGGATGCTCCTTGCTCCTTTTTCTGACTCCCAAACTTTCCAAACTGTTCCATGGCCTTTCCCAAGCAGCCACACCCCTTAAGTTTCTTAGATGCTCCCTACTGCTCTGCTCTGTCCCAGATACTTCATGGGGAACAGAGCCTCTGACCTCACCCGCCAGTCCTTGTGCTGGGGTAGTAGCTCATCCTTCAGTGGGAGTACTGTGATGATCCAGTGCTGCTCCACAGAGGAATCCCTTCCTCTCTGTTCTTCCTTTGCCATCAGTCTCTTGCCTGTCTTCACTGCTGACTGTCTTGGCTGGTACCAAGGAAAAAGTATTCTGTGCTTAAATATCCATCTGGTGCTAACTCATGTGAATCCTCATGTGCTGCACTGGGCCCATTGTCAACACATCATGTGACACAGATGCCATAACTTGAAAAATGTGTTTCCTGGCAATAGATTTCCCTGGAGGGCCTCCAGATGGCTAACCTCCCAGAGGCTGGAGCAGCAATCTATGCTGAGACACGGTGCCCGTAATAAGTAGGTTCTTAGGGAAGGTGTGGGTTGGGATGTCATGAGGTTGGCCACTTTCCTGCTGTCAGTCAACTGTATGCTGTGCCCACCTTGCACCATTCTCCACTGGCTGTATCTCATGGTCCCAGATCACTTCAATCTTTACATCTCCTTTTAAAATGATAGCATCCTCAGCTAGTTCCTAATTCAAGTGACTCGAAATGGGCTGGGCTGATGCCCGTTGTCATTCATACCCAGCAGTACCAGCATGAAGGTGAGACTGAATGCTTCCTTCAGCTCAGCATGCCAACATCGCACACTAGGTGTGCTGTACCTGGAGGTACCGTAGATCCTCCCTGAGAATACCGTGTTCTGTTCCGTGATATTAGATCACTGCACATCCTCAGTTTAGCCCTTCTAGGCTGCTGAACTACACTGCTAGTTTCAATTGGTGTGTGACGACTCTTCCTTGCAAACTCTTGTGTTCCCTCTCCAGTGCCTGCACCAGGGCCAATGGAGTATCTGCATGTCAGCAGTCATGTAGGCCACAGAGAGAGGAGGTCTTTGTCTAACCTCAGCTTGCTGTCTAGGTGCCTCTTTCTTTGAAAGACGTTCTCCTTTTTTAGCAGAAACTTGGACTGGTCTCGTGATGACCGCCCTCCCCCTCTTCCCTCACCAGAAGGATACTTCGGTGTTGGCCTGCAATCAGATGGAGAGCTCACACTGCCCTGCTGCCTAGCCTAAGCAGTGCTCCTCCGGCAGTTACTATAAACACTAAACTATAATGCCCCTGGTTTCATGACCTTCCAATTGACAACCCACATGTGCCTACTGCCCTTGGAAGGGTTGTGTTGTGTATCACCAGTGTGCAGCACATTTCTCCAGTGTAACATGTCTGTGTATCACTTTGCAGCTGGCTGCTGAGTCCAGCTGGAATGGCACTGGGTGCTGATCCAACAGCAGAGCTGCAACTATAAACAGCTGAACAGCTGGCAGCCTTCTTCTAGTACACGTGCACACAGCACCTTGGATCTTAACACCTTCTTCTTTACTGGAAGCCTTTCTTCTCTCAGACACTGTATGCACTGCAGCTTCTTTCTTCCTATGGTAGCTGCAGCATTTGGCATCGAGTGGCTCCTTTTACCTTATATTCCTTGCACATTGCCTCTAGTCTGGGTTTTTCTGTTCTATTGTTGTGTCACCTCCTTGCGCCTGTGCGTACAACAGACCATGATGTCTGCATTCTCACTCTGTCGCCTGCCTCCTGTCTTATCATCTCGAGCCTGTTTAGTTGTTCGAGTGGCTGTCATTTCCCTTTCCATTTGCCCTCCTATCTGGAGGCATTTCTCCAGGGTTAGTTCTGTTTGTCCATAATTTTTCTTGTAAATTGGAAACAAGTAATCCTCAAATGATCTCCTCTTTGCTTAGGGAATCTTTTACATCTCCAGATCCTTATGGAAACCATATTGCTATATTCACCAACACAAAGGTGTTTTAGAAAATTCTGACTTTAATTATACTTTTCCCATCTCACAATTCCTTTTTGACCCACAGTCTGGGACCCTCCTGCCTCCCAGTCTGGAAACCCCTGATGGGGCTCTGTTGATGTCCTTTCACTTGTTACCTGCACACCAGTGCCATTTCCAGCTCTCTGCCCATACTCTGCTGTTCTGAGTAGGAGCCCCCACCTACTCTTTCAATTTTGCAGGTGTCCCTTTCTCATGTCTTCTCTCTCTCTCCAAGCTTGGTGGGGCTGTGAGGGATAATCTGGACATCAGACCTTGAAAGTTACTATTTTCTCTGCCCTGACAGCCAGCAGCAGACAGAAGTAACCAGAGAAAAAGTCTATTAAAGACACATGGAGCCAAACAGATCTTCAGTGGAATGCCAGTGACTTCAGCAGAGGTGCAGCAGAGAGCAATTTGGCCCATTGGCCTATGGCAATGCAGTGAGAGATTTTCTCCGCGCAGATACAGCATCTCAGAGCCTCAAAAGAGGATCATTAACTATTTAACAGGCACTGCTGTTTTGACATGTCTGGAGATGTAGGTCAGGCTTAGCTGATGCAGCTTACTGTTAGAATGAATGGGAGATCAGAGAGTTTCAAAGTGGTTAGACACATTTCATTGACAAAAGATGAAACAACGATTAGCTCAATGAAATTCCAATAAGGTTTGATTGTGGGAGTTTGCTTCTGCCCAAACCCTTGTGAGTCCTCTCTGCCTATGGATCATCAGGTGTGTTATTTTGAGTATCAGAACACAGCACCTGCAAGAGCTTTACACACAGACTTAACATTGCAGGCTGCAAGAACTGGTATACTTCCCTGTTGATAATATCACTGTAGCTTTGCTCCATTGACTTCACTGGGATAATTCATGGTGCCTTCCGTGAAGCCTGGAAAACGGCCTTGGAGCGATTGGGGTGGGGGTGGGGATCTGTGTTGGAGCTTGAGTAGCCAGGTGTCTCCATGGGAAGGAAAATCAGTGGCTGCATTGTTACATTTGTGTTGACTGGGGATACCTCAGGTCCCATCTGCCATAGCTGGGCTCTGTACAAAGACAGCTGCCTCGTTTGCTGGTTGGCTTTCAGGCTCCTGCTTCCTACTTCTTGGTAATGTCACTGAAAGAAAAAAAAACCTAACAACAAATTTGCTTTTCTAAAAATAGCAGTGTTTCACCCCCAGGCCATGTCCATGCCGCCTAGGCTCATCCCACCGTCAGACAATGCA